GATCCCACTTGTTAGTTGTATCATCTGAGACTACTCCAAAGAAAAAGGACTTTGGGGCTGTTTGGATATCACCGTTGATAATTTTTTTTTTTTTTTAACACAGCAAAATATGAATTTGTTGCTTAGAAGTACAAGGTTACTTTAACTCATTACATCCATATTAATTGTCTAATAAAAGTTACACTAAAAACAAATTACAGCAATTGCTTACTTTCTCATGCTCAAAATTGGCTCTAGTTTTCAATAGTTGAAATCAAACCTTGGTAGTTTTGATTTACCGTTGATAATTTTTTTTTTTTTTGAACAGGTCAATAAGGAGCTGGGTGAATCCCCAGCACAGGAGAAAAGGAGAGTGGGATGGTCTCGAACTGAAGGCCTATGAGAAGTCTTGTGCAGGGAGTTACCACTTGCTTTACTCAAAAATTTTTGATTTACTGTTGATAATTAATAAATAATATTTAATAATTAATAATAATTATTTATTATTTAAAATATTTAATTTTTTAATTAAAATTAATAATTAATAACTACTTATAAAAAGTTAAAACAAACATTTTTGGATGTAATGCAATTATCAGATGGTACGTTCAATTATTATGATAATGAATTAATTGTTCTTCGTTTTCCCAAATTCTTTCGTACCTCTCTTAATATCAAAACTGGCTTCAACCAGATTTTTAACGAAAATGAACTTTTAACTAAAACCTTATGCTTTTGTTTAACTGAAATAAGAAGGTAATCTAAAAAGTTACTATATTACGAGTAAAGAACAGTAGAAGAAATGCTTTAACTTTTACAATCAATCATTCATTTTCTCAAGGTAAAAATATTAAAATATATTTATTTTTTAAAATAAATATTTTTTATTTAAAAATTTATGATAAATTTCAATAAAGTTATAAATGAATAGAGGAACTGGTAATCTACTTGTAAATTGCTTGATATAAGTTTAGCTTCACCTTAGCCAGTTTGCCAAATGAACTAAATTAACTTGAACTTAATTTCACAATTAACTTGAACTTAATTTCACAAGAAATAATTGAGCTCAAGTTCTAACCTACACGTTAGGCTCGTGAGCTTACTCTCCAGTTACTCAATTTGATTAAAAATTTGAATAAATTACATTATTTAATTTAATTTAATTATTTTAAATTATAAATAAGTTTCATTTTTTTCTAAAAACAAGTTGAGATCTAATCCCACCTTTTTAAAGTCGAGAAAACTTGAGCTTCGATAACTTAAAATCAAGCTGAAGGTTGACTATTTCGATACGTAACTTGGCTTAATTCATTAATAGTTAGTTTATAGTAAAAAATAAATGACTAAAATTATATAGAAAAACTATATCTAAAAATTATGTATAAATAATTTTTTTATTGAATATAATATAAAGTTTAGGAATGTCCAAAAGTACTCATCCTCAAAACATTCTAGCCAAAAACTATCCCCACCACGATTCCACCTAATCTACAACAAAACAAAGGATGGTAATAGGTCCTGCAAAGACCAAGGGACACCCCCCATCCCCATCCCCAGCTAGGCATTTTCGATGGAGAACATAATCTTTTCCCGTCCTCATTACCTGCAGGGGACCACCATTTTCCCACTAACCTATTTATTTTATTTTGTTGGTTTTTTTAAGAGTATTTAATAGCAAATGTGTTGAGTAATTGAGTTGGCTTAGAATAAATAATGAATTATGAGTTTTGTTATTAAAATGAATGATGGGTTGAGTAATTAGATTGGAATATGTTGAAGGAGACTGAACTGAATTTACAATAAATAATGTGGAGTGGGAAAATTTTTCTTCAAAATTAAACTAAACGAAAAAGACGTCTCATGTTCCTGCCCACAAGAAAGAATGTACTTCAAGGTCGTGTCTCCGTGACGGGGATTCCTATAGACCTTGTGGGGAACGGAAACAATTGTCACCTCAAAACAGAAATATCCGGTCCCCTTTATCAGAAAACAGAGCATTTGGAGCAGGGTATGCCAAATGTCAATAGGTTTTTGTGTTACAACTTGCCAGAACCTCAGAAACCATAATTCCACCTCCAGCACTGGGTGCTTTTTTCTCTAAGTTTGTAACTTTCTTCGTATATAGAATGCCTTGAGTGTTTTTTAAGATGCTTGGCAAGAAAGCCTACTAATGTAAAATTTTCAACTTAAACATGAATGGTAGTACTAGCAGCTTTTCCTTTGTGCTCTCTTCATCTTTCCTCTCTATTTCCTCAATCTTATGGTGTAGAAAAAATCAAGATATCCTGATATAGTATTAAAAATATCAAAAACATAAACATATATAAAAAAATATTATATTGAACTCAAAAAACATGTTAGTTTAGGACCTTCTAGTATATATTGTACTTTTATACTTTCTTTCTCATCAATATAAAATCTTCACACATTTTTTTAATTTTACTCACATGTTCATTTATTCCAACAGGTGTTATGAGCTTTGTATTGTCAATTTTAAATTCAGTCTCTTCATTCATTGCCGTCCAAATGGTCTTCCCATATAAATTGTAAAGGCACGTGACTGACTGATACACGTCTTTCTTAAGCAGGATTCTTCTTAGCTCATTTATTAATATTTCTAATATTAACATCTCAGTATGTTTATTCTTATGATATAATTCTTAGCACTGTCAAATTATACTTAAATAAAAATAATCAGCCTCCAGAGGAAAAAGGACAAATTACCCTTCCCTTCAAAGTTCAAACACGTGGGGAAAAGACAGGAAATTCTAATATTTGTTCTTGCTTGTGTGATGATAAATCCTCTGAAGAGTGGGAAGGACATTTTGTTTTCAAGCCATTTTCATTAAAACAATTCA